TCGTCGTACGTACGTACCGTACCTACCGACCGACCCGACCACAACGACGACCGACCCGACCCCCCGACCCGTACCGTACGTACCGTCGCGACGTAGAGAGTAGAGAGAGAAGAAGAGAGAGAGAGAGAGAGAGAGAGAGAGGGGTGCAATAAGTGATGAGCAGTTTTGGCAAGGGGCAGGCATGGGTAGATGTCAGTCAGGGCTCTTTTCCGACACTCCCATTTTAATTCCATCTATCTATTTTCCCTTGTTTGGAAGGTCCATTTATTTAGAAATACTTGCGTTTCTCCACTTGAAATACTTCCGAAAAGTACTCCCAATTTTCCTTCCCTTCCCCTTCCTTTCCTTGCAGAAAACTCTCCTTAACCAAAACCTCTTTTCCCTTATCTCTAAATAGCCCTATTGCTGAATAAAGTTACCCGATCATCCAAACGAGGCCTATCCCAGCAATGGATTTTTTTGCATGAGAGATAGAGAAGAGAGTGAGAAAACAATTGTAGTCTTGTAGATTTCCTCTCTCCTCTTTTCATTCAAAACATTGAAATCCCATGTGAACTCCCTATCCAGAAGCATCCCTCGGATGTGGCATACCCTAATTTCATCAGATACATTAAACTCATGGTCAAGAATTTATATATTCCAAGCCAACTTCCTCCTTTTCTTTTCCCAGAATTATGTTTTTATTAAGATTTTTCTTTCGGCATAGAAATGATAAAGTTTTCTGAATTGCTTTCTTTTTTTAGGTAAGTAGATTGAGGAGGAGTCTGGTGTAGATTCCGAATGTTATTTTGTTAATTTTGCTATAATCATGTTTACATTGAAATTCACATGAAGGGATCGTTTTGGGCATGTCAAGTGTAGGAAATAAAGCTTCAAATAAGATTGAAAGAAGGGATCGAAGCTGCTTTTTTTTTTTTTCGTATTACTATTATGTAGTTTATTGGGTGTTGGTCCTCAACTCATGGTAGGAATGAAACTCAAAAAGATATATTGTGGCCCCCTCAAACCCTGACACCATCTTACCTTGAGCCCAATCCTAAGTCGTTTATGAAGTTCCTTGTGGATAGTGATGTTTGCAACAAGTTCAATGCCTTTCTTGTGAGAATTCATTATGAAAAATATTCCTTTTTTCCCAGGAATGCAAGTTTCACATTCATATTTGGCCAGCTCAGATGTAAATTGATATCTAGTACATACAGCAAAACCATATAAGCTTCAGATTTTGTTAACTAGGTTATGTCCACAAAACCTGTAATCGATATTTGCATTGTCTTAAACAATGGCATCCACTATTTTTCGTAGCCACTAACAAAGAAATAATGGTAGTGTTAAGTTTTTAGTTGTTATTGCTGGCCACAAGATAGTAGTATTTCACTTCATTCAACTGCTTGATATCAAATTTTCTTATCTAAAATGGAAATATTTCACAAATGAAAATATGTCACCCTCCTCATTTTTACCATTAAAGAGAGATAGACCTAGCTATTCAATGGTAAGTATGGATATTTGACAAATAAAATGCTTGTTACTAAGAAATATTAAGTTGTTGTTGTTCTTGTTTGTTTTGCCTGGCGTGGAGAAGACTGTAATTGGGCATCCAAAAGCTATTTGGAAATGCTGGAAATTTGTTTCAGAGGAAGATCTAATAAGGCCTCTACATAACACCTTGTTGGTGATATGATAAAATGTCAAGGGAAGAGAGGTTGGCCAGCATTAGGCTGCCGCAAGGATCGGCCCAGCTTAAAACTTGACATACAAATTGCAACCATATGGAACTTTACTGCTGTGGCTGTTGAAGACACACTAAAACACTACAGTCCTGAGTGTAATCTAAGCCATATTCTCAAATTCCTTGCTCATATCTATCTTAGTACCATCTTCCCCCTAGACTTTCAACTGAGCTCTTGAATGATCTCTTAAGCCAGCTACACAATGCTATTTTAAATATACGCTCGACATGAGATCCTAGGAAACTAGAGAACATTTTACAAATAAAACCGGTCTAGATAGATTAGCTAGAAACTTGTAGTTAAGGAATCTTACCATAGAAAACTTTACAGTAAGGTACAGGCTCAAGGCATAGGTTGTCACGGTGGCGGTTTGTCACAAGATGTCTAGAGTTCCATTCTACCAGGTCCCAGGTTAACTTTCAAAAACAAAGGGGTGGCGTGGAAGGAGGAGAGGGAGGGAGGAAGGGGTGGTCGGGAACACTGTGCACTTTTATCACAACCAAACACATTATGTTGCTAATGGTTTTCTAATCCTTTGTCAATACCCTTGGCTCATGTCTATCTTCTCTAGCATCTCTCCCCATATACTTTACATTGACCTCTTTGAGTAATCTCTTAGGCCAACTAAATAACTTCGAACCTGGAGATGATTTTCAAGACAATACATGTAGAGATGTTAGGTAGCAACTCGCAGATAAGTTGATAAATTTTTCAAAAACAAGGGTGGAACTCATCAAAGGTACACTGCTCAGAGCCAATCTTTTGTGCCGTAGGAATGATATCTTACCATTTGCTTGTTTTGAAGTTTGAGCGTTGGTAAGAAACATCTAATTTCATTGGAGGGGCACAAGGTTTTTAGATCCAAGAACTCTTCCAAAGGAATATTCTCTTTTGCAGGAATGAGAGAATTAAAGCATATCATCACTTGAGTATCAAAATCTCGTTCATTATTTAGGTCGCATTCGTATCTGTTGATGGAATCGAATACCATCACACAACCATTATATACGGGTTTTGGTAATCAAGAGACCTCCTCTTTCATGAATAGTTCATATGCCTTGGTTTATAGCTCTTTGTCCTCAGATATAAGTTTCTTTGTGTCTCCCTTTTCTTCTGTTAGACAACCAACACACTTATTCTCATTTTAGCTTGAGCTATGCTCCTCAGTAAACTTCTAAGGGTGATTATGAATATGGGTACGAATTCATTTCTTCAAATTTGAACAACTGATCTCATGACATTGTCTTCCTGTCAATATTGTAAGTAATGGTGCGTGATTTGGGGATAGCCAAGGAGCGCAAAGATTGTCCGAGTCTTTGTTGCTCCACCATTGCAAATATCCATCCTAAGAACTATTAGCCAATATAATTCTGATGGGACATAGTGCAATAATCTCTAATTTATTTGATCTTGTAATGCCACTGAGATCACAACTCTCTAATTTATTGGATCTTGTAATGCCACTGAGATCACAATTGAAAATTCATCACTCTTGAATGGTATAGGGAAACATGTGCTGAGTTTGGAATTCAAAATGGTCTGAAGACCAAGTCATGTCTGACAGACTTGGCCGAGTCTACCAAAGACTCGACCAGTTTAACATAAAAATAATTAAGCAATGGAATCCGGCCAAACGGGGCTGTTTCCCATTTATATGATGTTTTACTTGGAAGTCACCTGCGTTTTATAGCACTGCTCTAGAAATATTGCTCAACAGTGAACTTTAGATAGGTGTCTGGTGCCGCTTCTGTTTTCTCTTTCTTTCGTCCTGTTTTTTTTGGAAGTTTAAGTTCTTTCCTTTTATGTATTTTGGATGTGTATGCAATTAGGAATTCTCTTTCTTCTCATAAACTTATCAAATCTACCAAAATATAGAGGAGAAACACTTATTAAAAATTTCATTGAAATCGACAAGAGAGAGAATAAATCCGCCGATTTAGTTTCAAATGAATTTGTTTGTAGGCATAATATAGGTAAGTTTATTTATGATATGAGTTTCCTGCGGGAGAAGGCTTCAGGATTGGTTTTGATTGAGTAAGGTGGTTATATCTGTGTTATTGGAGGAAGATGTCATTACAGTGTTGATTCTTGGGGTTTACCTAGTGGCAACTTTTATCAGATTCGGGCTTGAAATATAATTGTTGTTAACAGTTCAATGCTGTCGAGTCTCATATTATTTATATCCTTGGTGTATGCTTTTTTTTTTTTAATACTTAATGTTCTTGTAAATTGAATTTTAATAATTAATTGCTTCTTATACTTGTTCAAAAGTTGCAGGAACCAATGCGATTCTGCTGTTGATAATTTATAATCTCTAGTTTCTGATAGTTTATATAAAATGCAAAAATTGAAATGGAGATATAAATGGCTAGAATGTTTTTCATATGCTATGTTTTTGTTTCTTTGCTTGCCTTAAGTAGAATGGAAGAGGAAATACAAGTAAAAGAGGCCAAAGAAAGGGGAGACCATTTTGTATTTGAAGTTATAAGGGATACAATATACTGTATATCATATACGAATGAATAAAATGTCGGACGATGCTGAAATAATTTTAAATGGTTGCTGCCCAAGAAAAGTTAAAAAAGAAAATGTTTTTTCGTGTAGTTAAAAAATGTAGCTTGTAGGAAATCAATAACATGTAGTTTGTGATGTTCTTTTGGATATATTTGATAGTATACTTGTTCCCTTTCTTCTCATAATGGTGTTCAAGCATCCTCAACATCATTATTATTCACTCACTCTCTACTTGATATTCATCAAGATTTAGAGTAACAAGGTGTACAGCAAGAAACTACTATTCTGTTAGATTTTTTGAAATTTATTATGTTTTGATGGAAATTAGGGTTAAAGATGAGGAATCCCAATCAAATTAAATGCTGCAGAACTCTAATATGTACTACGATGGAGCTACTTCACAATATTAGATATTAGACTTCTAGCGTGTTTGTGTTTAGTTTGACTAGAACTCC